TGGTGAGAATCAAAAGTAACGCCAATTTTCTGTCACGTTTTCAATCTATGGCCACCGGAGTGACCAAAATCGGCCAAGTGGTAGGCATTGCGATAAAGGTTCAACGAAGGTATTTAATTTCGCTGGAAAAGAGGGAGTTCCTCAAATTACAGGTGTAAAAAATTAAATAAAAAAGTCTTCAATTCGTCGAGCTTTTATCAACATCGAGGTCTGTGTTCTATATATGCAAATTGTAAGCCTTGTTAACATGCAAATCGAAAAGCTTAATGTTTACGAGGCGCAGTGGAGCAAAGCAATCATTGGTGCTTTACGCTGTTTTGCTAATTTTTGCGTGAATTCATTTATTTGGTCCCGCTAAGTAACGTGTAGTAACAAGATCACGCGAGGACTCAACTGTTGAAGCTAATGGGCCTTATAATGTTGAATTTGGTAATATAAGGTAAAACGTCTGTATAAGAGCCAAGTGGCCCATCAGGCCGGAGCTTATCCCGGTTTCCGTAGCATGAAGCGACTAGGAGTATTTCTACTCCCCCCTGGATGGGATGCTAGTCCATCGCGGGGTTACCCCCAGCATTAAGTTCGCCGGTATCCATTTATACACCTGGGTAGAGAGACGCACTGTGAGAGTGAAGTGTCTTGCCCAAGAACACAACATAATGTCCCCGGGCAGGGCTCAAACCCTAACCGCGCGATCCGGAGACGAGCGCACTAAACATGAGGCCACCGCGCCTCTCACAAAATTAAATTACCGACTGACAAAAGCTTACCTTTGGACAGAGAGCCAATTCCTGGTATTCAGTGCAGTAATATAGCCAGTAGCCATGGGGAAGCACGTGATGTTGTCTTACCAGTGGAACACACAAGAACTTGCGGAGCAAGTGTACCAAGGTTTGCGCAGTCACGGAATCAATGCCTGGATGGACGTGCATGGTGGAGTGAAAGGAAACGTCAACGACAGGTGAAATTCACCGACAGTTTATTGATTTTTAAACGGCCGTCAATCCGATTAACGTAGGATTAACGTCCGACTAACATGACGCAGCTACCCGCGTTCTTGGTGTTGGCCAAGAGGAAAACGGGCTCTGGGGACGAGATAGTTGCTTTTGCAGGCGAGCACAAGTAGACACGGTAAAACTTTGGGTTGCAGTTTAGGGACGTCATATAACCTCACGCCTTCGTGAGTGTTTAAAAAAATACACGGTACCATCTAGTCTCTTGAGTCTGAATTAACTCCACTAGTTCACAGAAAAGGTAATTATGCCATTTTGTATTTAGTATGGCAGAAGGAGTTGATGGAGCGGCCGCCATATGCTGTTTTATGACATCTGATTATTTCGTAAGTTATTTTACTATTGTCTTTCTCGCCATAGCTACCTCAGATAGATCATTACTCCCTTGTCGAGGATGGCAACTGAGGCAGCGTGTTAATTATAAGAGACCGGACAATAAGTTTGTAGGTACAGTTTTTGTGAGGATACCAGAACAATAAAAAGCAAAAAACAAAAACAAAAACAAGAAAATAAACGAAATAAATAAAAAACAAAAAAACTTTATGGTAAACCAGAATGAAGACGCACAAAGTGAGAAAAATAGCGGATGCTAAGAGGTTATTTGCTAGCGTTTAGTGCATTTGTTTTAACCAAATTTGTTACTTTCCTTTGTTTTGCTTAGCCTTGTTGCTCTCAAAAATCATTAAAAAAATCGAAATTTTCCCGACAATATGTCCTTGCAATATATTAATTGTCCAGAAGAAGACGAAGGCCGTCATTTGGTATAATGATATACCTCTAAAATCTCAGAGCAAATTTCAAAACAAATGTATGATACTCAGTAATAAGAAGAATTACTATTTTGAGACTGCAATCGTATACTGCCACAAATTCATCGATCCTGATTTGCATTTCAGGGTTCAAGGAACTGTAAAAAGGAATTAAACTACGCCGACGCGCAGGCTAAGGCCATTGTTCCCTTGATGTGTGAGAAAGGGTTTAAGGCGACGGGCTGGCTTGGTATTATCACCGCTGGGCTGTTATGGATTGATTTCAGGTAAACGAGCAATTCCGGTTTTGTTTTTTTCGGTAAAGCGGAAACGACTGCACAGGAAATTTGGTAATCTACTCGATGGCCATACACTAATCAAATAATGGTTTAATAAGTCACTGAATTGGCCCGACTTTTTTTAATGTTGTTGCGTTGAGTTCATTAACGCTTGATGTCTGTTACTGCACGTTACGTTTGCAACTGCCTGGTGAGTTTTAGTGTGTCTGCTCCTTTATTGATCATAAATGCGCGATCCCTTTGTGATCATAACTGCAAGATCCGTTTGTGATCGTAAGTACGCGCTTTGTTTGTGATCATAAGGGCACACTCCTATTGTCATCATAAACGCGCGATCCATTTGTGGTCGTAAGTGCACGCTCCGTTCGTGATCATAAGGGTGCACTCCTTTTGTAATCATAAACGCCAGGTTCATTTGTGATAGTAAGTACACGCTGTTTGCGATGATAAGTGCGCGCTCTGTTTGCGATCATAAGTGCACGCTGTTTGCGATCAAAAATGCACACTCCCTTTATGATCATGAATGTGCGCCCCGATTGTGATCATAAATACTCGCTCCTTTTGTGATCATAAGTGCGCGCTTCTTTTGTGGTCATATATTAAGCACGTTCGCCCAAAAATTGATTGATTTTTTTTCTGAGACTTTTACCACTGTAAGATGAAGAGTTAGTTATGTCAGAAATGTAAAAAAAAAGGCGGGGGAGGGGGTGTCACCGACTTCGTTTTGGAGAGAACATGCTCGGAAGAACACCCTAAATCCGAAAAAATCGGGCTTCGTCAGTGAATAAGGCCACAGTGTCTAAGCCCAAAAATATTGCAATTAGATCTTTGAAGTGAAATGTTCTCTGCCTAATACTGTTTAAGTGGACCCATTAAGTGAATTTAGTCAGCTGGTGAGGTTCCTTAAAGAAGAAGTTCGCATTTAGCGACCATAGTTTCACGCGT